ATAAAACATTACTATTGTACATTTTAAAGGTCAAAATGAAAATGTTCAAATTTCACATTTTTACGCGATTTTTTTGGATTTTATTCTTTTCTGCCAAGAGGCAATTCCGAATTTGTCTTAATCGTTAAAATCAGACCGGCGGTCTTTATGTTATAAGAGTAGTAACTAACACAACTTTCTTTTACATATAGAGAGATAGATTTAAAAGTAGGCGCGTTCCTCAGCCCCTAAATAAGTACTTAGGGTTGGATGGAAAGCCAATCCATCTCGTGTAATAATTCTGAAACCGATATCTTCACTATTTTGGCAAATATAAAGATTTTAGATAAATCGAAATAGTGGGCGTAAAAGGAGGTGTGGTCAATATTTTTTTTCTTTAAAACCCTAACTGGGGGTATGACAGCCGTTTTCAACTGATTCCGTTACCAACAAACAACAATTGATTTTTATATATATATATAAATTAATTCTCATTCTGCCCTCAATTATGAGGTGGATGAAACTATTTCTACTTATTTAAATCACGCGAAATGCTATGACATGCTATATTGTTCTGCTATATTTTTGATTTGGCCTCTATTTGTCATCTTGGATTATAAGGGGTAGAAGAAAGTTTTCAATGTAGGTCGATGTTTCGGAGTAGTGCCCATATAAAGAAGGTATCTCCTACTGCTATGACATGCTATATTGTTCTGCAATATTTTTGATTTGGCCTCTATTTGTCATTTCGGATTATAAGGGGTAGAAGAAAGTTTTCAATGTAGGTCGATGTTTCGGAGTAGTGCCCATATAAAGAAGTTATCTCCTACTTTTACCATATTTCAAAGAATTTGGCTAATAATGTGTATTAGGGGGTGAAGATCTAAGTGCTAATGGGTTTAAAAAAGTAATTATTTTTGGCTATTCTTAAATCATTCAGCTCTAAATAATATAGTATTCAAAATACAGTAAATTCCAAATTACTGCTCATTTGACTGGAAGATTTTGCTACGATTTTAACCATATTAAAAATTATTTTGATCCCTTATATGCCGATAAGATTGATATATACTTTTTAATAGATTTGTATAGCACATCCACACAGTTGAAGCCCACGGTTTAAATATTGAAGCCCACGGCTTTAAAAATGGGTACAGGTACACTTTTAATCGACCTGTACGTGAACACTTATATCAGTAATATCTGTGAATAATTATGCTTGGACAAATGCAAAATAGACAAAAACTACGGGCCGGCAACGCGAACGGGGCAGCTAGTATATATATAAAAATTAATTGTTATTCGTTGGTAATGGAATCAGTTGAAAACGGCTAGACCGATTTGCATAATTTTTTGTACAAACGTTCGTCATACCCCGAGTTAGGTTTTTTAAGAAAATAAATATTTACCACGCCTACTTTTACGCCCACTATTTTGATTTATTTAAAATCTTTATATTTGCCAAATAATGAGGATATCGGTTTGATAATTATAACAGGAGATACTGTTGACTTTCCATCCAACCCTAAGTATTTATTTGGGGCAGAGGAACTGATCTATAATCTATATATATAAATTAATTGTTGTTCGTTGGTAATCGAATCAGCTAAGAACGGCTGGACGGATTTGAATATTGTTTTTAAATTATCGTCCTACCCCGAGTTTGGTTTCTATGCCAAGAAAAGTGACCTCGCACTTTTACGCCCATTTTTTCGATTTACCTAAAATCCTAATATTTGCCAAAATAATGAAGACATTTGTTCCATAGTTAGGATATGACGCACTCTTGACTCTCCCTCCAAACCTAGGTATCTGTTTGGGGTCAGAGAAACTGGCTACACATGCTTCTTCAAATTTCTATGTATACAATTTAAAAAATATAGTAACACATCAGCTGAGAAGTGCTTGGCCGAATCGACTCAAATATCTTTTGGTTATTTGTAATTATAGTGGAAATGTTTTCATGAATGAAAATTTTGAGAAAAGCGCGAAAGTAAAAAACTTGAATTTTCTATTTTGATAAGGAATTTTGTATAGAATTGTTTCAGAAAGCCTTTTAAAATTGAAAATTCTTACTTAAAAAAATCGAGAAATTTTGCATATATTCTATACAATTTTGATTGAGAAATACTTCTCAAAGCATCAAAACATTTAACATCTCGACGTACTTTTAAATTGGGGCTATGCATAATGGGGAACAAAAGTAAATTAAATTGAAAGCAGTTATACACAAAATAATATTGACTCTCCCTCCAAGCCACACTCACTTTTTTAGATCTATGTGTAAAAATTTAAAAAAGCATAGTAAAACTGCATTTGAGGATGACTGGGCTGATTTAACTCATATTTTCTTTTGGTTAATTGTAATTACACTGGAAACGTTTTCAAGAAAGAAAATTTTGATAAATGTCTCTAGAAAAATTGCAGAACTGAAATTAACTGTTCTATTTGGATATAAAATTTTGTGTAGAATGGTTTCGGAATGCCTTTTGAAATTGAAAATTCTTATTGAAAACCCCCGAGAAATTTTGCATATTTTGTGTACATGCCGTTACATGTTCAATTTTGATTAAAAAATATTTCTCGAAGTATCAAAACATTTAAAAGCTCAACGTGCTTTTAAATAGTTATTGATATTGGTATTAATTTCACAATATTCAAAACATTAAATGGCAATTTACAGTTCATTCGGTAGAAATTGTAACAAAAACATGCCATAATTTAATTGACAAAGATTTCTACTTTTTAACACAATTTATGGGGTCCCTTACTTTTATAAACCGATGACACCTTATTTTTGATAGTTAAATTAAAGTCTTATTTCCAGGATTTCTATTTAGAAATTACTTTCGATCCTGAGGTCGGAAACTTCAAAAAATTGACTAGATATGGAAATAGTCCATCCAATGCAAAATTCATTAGACAATGTACTATGCGTACTACACAAAATAGTGGAACGAATTGAAAATTTGGTAAGAAAAGTCTTAATATCATTGAAAAATTCTTGCGAACCCTTAAATAAACCCGTAACCTAAAATCACAGGTAGCTTCATACGGGCACTATGGGCTATCGCTGCACCCAAGACAATCATGAGGTTGGTACATAAAAATCTTCCCGGGTCAAACTTTTAGAGGTCCATTTTATATAGCTTAAAAATACGCAAAGGACCTCAACTATTTTCCTCTATACTCCGTAAAAGTTAATGCAGTCCTATGGGTTATATAAAGAATCACTTGTACAAAATATATTTCAGGTTGGTCTGGATTGTGATATAGCCCCTTTTCATTCCTTAAATGTTGGTAATATTCTAGGTCACCTTTTCGTGGAAAATTTTCAAAGTTAATGTTTTGGGCGCTGCATATATAAAGGTACCCCCGATTTTATGTATTTCGAGGGTTTTGATTATATTTTCGAATCGATTTGGCTTAAAATGTGTGTTTATGCTACTTTGGGCGTAGTGAACCATCTTACATGGTGTATATTATAAACAATTGGTGTATAAATAATTGATGTATATTATTTGGGTTTCCAACTCTCAAATTAAAAACTCTGCCTAGAAAATAGGATCAGGTTTTTTGAAACGCTATAAATCGCCCGGTACCTACATTGACATTTTTGAAATGCATACTTATTTCTCTTTAGTTGAGTCATCATTTATACTAACAAGTAAAAAGCAGTAAGTTCGGCCGGGCCGAACTTTGAATACCCTCCACCATTTGGAACGAATTAAATAATTTTCAAAAAAATAAAATCCATTAAAAATTATTTTAAAATCTTTAAAATCGGAAGAGTCGGATATATGGGGGGATATACGATATTGCGGACCTATATAAACAAATCTATGTCGGGGGGTTGTGATAATCAGATAATTGATTAATTAATTGATTATATATATATATATATATAGCCCATAGTATTAGCGTGTAACGTATATTTAGTTGTAAATGGTAAGCTTTTCTCTTTAAAATAACCTAAACTTTGATAAACAGTTTTGGCTTGCAACTATCGTCAATCTACAAATTTGGCGGTGTTCATGCTTATTGCTCTTTTTCTTGTTTGTGCTTAATATTTTTTTATAGTGCACAATACATATTAATGGTGAATTAAAGACATGTTGTATATACACGTGTGTATATGTTTTTAATTTGTTAGAATTTCGTCGTCAGAATCGATAATAATATCTAAATTGAATTTAACTATCATAAATAAGGTGTCATCGGTTTATAAAAGATATGGGCCCTTTAAAGTATGTTAAAGAGTACATATCATTGTCGATTAAATTATGTACGTTAGCTTCTCCGTTCTCCATTTGCAGTTACGATAGAGCTCACCAAATTTAAATGCGTCTTTCAGACTTAGCACATATTATTCTTAGGATTATTGATGTCACAAAAGGTATATATTTGTTCTCATTTAGATATAGCCCTCATATAATATTATCTCCTAATATTAGTTTCGAGGTTATAAATCATTTGTTAAAGAAATTACGAAGATATCAACTTTATGATTTCCCATTGATCAGTTCCTCTTTATATTCGTTATATCATCGTTTTTAATTAAATTTTCAAACCTCAATTGTCAGTATTATAAAAGTCTTAGCAATATTTTCCAAATCAAAAGTAAGTTTGAATTCGTAAGTTTATAAGACCATGTTTATGCAAAATCCTATGTCAATTAATCTATATCCGCCTGTGCATGTGGCCATTCGTTTAAACCGGCAATAACTGTCAACTTTTTTATTTACTATTGTTCAAAATCATGATTCTTTGCAACCAGATTTATGTTGATCACCAGTTTACAAAGATTAATTTAAGTATTTTGTCCCACACCGTTTGAATATGAATAATAAAGTGTCTTTCCATTTGCGTGTATAATGCCATGTTTACGTTAGATCTTTTTGTAGGGTCAACCTACTTTGAGAGGATTTATTTGAAGTAAAAGTAATGGATATAACAATTTAAATCAAAATCCAGTGGGTTAACCCTCATATATATAAACGTACTTTAAGGTGATGTTTTACCTGGTTTTATGCAGGACATTCCGCAAACTCCATCGCATAAGCACTTCTTTTTCTTACTTTTACAATCTTCATCTGAGGAACACTTTCTTAAACACTTTTGTCCCAGTATAGTGGCCTGTTCTTCGTCCCGCGGACATTCCGATGACGGAGAATTTCGTGGATTTTTATATATTCTTCCATCATCGTCGGCTTCGGACGATTCATCTTCATCCCAATCGTCGTCTTCATCGTCTTGGGGAACTTCCGTTTGTGCGAGAGGAACCGCGAGAACTGGAAATAGATTTAATATTTTAAAAAATCTCATGTGGACATACATACATATGCATTTATAACATTGACCTAATTTCTTACATTAAGAAGGACTTCATAACAAATATACTCATGCACATTTGTATTACACATATCACATTTCCCTCCCTACAAAGCAGCAAAATGTAATATATATTTTCTAAAGCAGTGCTGAACCTCGTTTATATATTACCCTTAGCCATACATTCGTGCTTGGGTACACTTTTCTTTGTTAAACTTAGATGTTTCTGAAATATTGATATGCTAAATATTTCAAAAACAAATAATAAATTAAGAAGCCTATAAAGATATAATAAAAACTTTTTAAAGGAAACACTGTCAGTTCATAGAATTTGCGTATTATTTAACTGTTTACTCAAATACCAACAACTGCATGTGTTTACGTTTAGAGATAGTATATACATATATATGTGTGTGTGATATTATTTCCATCTGATTAAATAGGCTAATGTTGTTTGGAACTTGCGCAGATGCTGCTTATATAAGAAAAAAACTTGTCCAGAACAGAAAAAAAAAAATTTCAAAACATTGATTTTTAATATTAAAACTTATTTAACTTATTTCATAATGAAAAAATAGAATAATAGTCGCATATAGAACTTACCGATATAGGTGAACAGCGTAAAAATAAGAATGTGTAACAAAACGCGATTCATTATAGTTAATATTTATTTATTTACTGCGCTATATATATATTTTTTTTTTTTTTTTTCTGAATTTATTGCTTGTGTCTTTAATCGAATTATTGGTACATAGGACAAGAGGTTATTAAAATTATTTTATAGACAAATCTAAATATTCGCCAAAAAGCTTTGTTCCGTACACTTCAAATTTTATTTTAGAAATGTAGTAACTATGCCTTAATGTGTGTGTATTGTGCATTGGATGGATGTGTATGTATACAAATGTCAAATGGCCCATTTTGCTAGTTGTAATGCTGATGTTAGGACAAACTCTTAGCGAACATTAAAGGTTCACCGTATGGAACACAAGTAAAAATATCAACTATGGTTTGAAAAATATAAAAACTGAAAATCTTTTATAAATATATTATTTTATAGTGTTATATATATAGTAAACATTTTCTATACAAATATTTTGTGGGTTTTAACTAAAAATAAAACAATTTCAAGAATTCAAAAAACTTTTTTGGATTATAATGCTTTAGAATATACAACGTCTTTTTGTGTCTCCTTCTCCTTCGTTTTTGTCTCTCCTTGTGTATTCATTCCGAATTTCATTGAAATTGCAGATACATATCGTGTTTGGTGTATTAAATACATGAAATCGGTCCAAAATTAATGTGAGAGCTATATTAAAATCTGAACCAATTTAAATATAATTTGGTACTTTAATTTTTGTGCCAAATTTCGTTACTCACTCTGAATATACTTAAATCAGACATGTTTAGTGCATTAAATGCGTTAAATCGGCCGAAAAATTATATTTAAATCTGATGCAATTGCAATATAATTTGGCAAAATAATTTTTTGCCAACTTCCAAATGTCATTGAAATTGGAGATACATATCGTGTTTAGTGTATTAAATACATGAAATCTGAAATGTATATGGGAGGTATTTCCAAACCTCAACCGATTTTAATATAATTCGGTAAATTGATTTCTTTGTACCAAATTCTGTCACAAATTCTAAATTTGAAGATACAGTCTATAACCGATCAATAGATATGTGGAAAAAATTATATAGCCTACGTTACCTTCAGGCGTTGCTATAATAAATCCGGATATTTTCAGGAAAATTTCTTCAATGGTTTTCGAGTCTATAAACAACACAAAAAAAGAAAAACAATGAAATGTACAAACATTTTTCTTTTTTATAGATATAGGAGATAAAGATCTATGGTATATGGTGAGAGTTATATAAATTTGTTAGTACCACATAAATGCATATGAATTAAATGGATTGTTCACTAATGTCACTTTCATGAAGGACTTGTAAATTTGTTTCAAAGAAACAATTAGAAAAATTTATAAAAATAAAAAATTCCAATTTGTGCATTATTGACTTTGTTCATTAAAAGATTAATATCATTTTAATGAACTAGGCCCTCAATTATTATTTTCAATAAAGGGAATTGTAAAAAATAATTGTTGTGATAATTTTCTTTACATATGGAGTTTTTTCTTTTGTCGTTGAAAATCTTCTCAATTTGATATTACACCAAATGTTGATACACAATCTGGATATACAATTATAACCGAGTGACCTAATATCAAGTGAAAGATGTTTCCTAATTCTTCATCTGTCTTTTATAACATATCGTATCATATAGCACACACAACACAATTTTCAAAGTATACCTTAATATCGCAAAGATAAATACGTACTTTAAAGACTTCAACAAAAGACTGTTCCACAATAAAGACTCTCGTCTTCCTATTTGTTTTCTCCCTACTATTTCTAATTCGACACACAAATTTTTTTATTTGAAAATTTGTTTACCTCTTTGTCGATAAACACTTTTCACTGCTGCAAAAATTGTGTGCTTCACTAAAATTGTCAAAATGAAAGCAATAATACCCTCCACCATTTGGAAGGAACTTGAAAAATTTCAAAAAACTTCCGGAAACTATATATTATATAGGGGCTATACGAAGACGTGGACCTGCATATAAATTGTTTTGTCATAGGCTGTAGTACCCATTACCAACTTTAAATACGAAATTTGTAACAATTCAGGTGAAAATAAAAACATAAAAATACCGAGAATTGGGAGGTACTGTCATATGGGGGCTATACCAAAACGTGGACCTGCATACAAACATTTTTGTCATAGCCTGTGGCACCCATTACAAACTTCAAATACGAAATTTAAAATAATTCCGGTAAATAATATAATAGTAATGTGAGTTTCCAGATTCCAATTCCAAGCAATTCATGTTCATTTTCATGACCCAGAATCCAAAATGGATAATGTAAATGACATTGAATTAAAGACTGTACCCAACCTGAATCTTGGATCAGGATTGATACGATTCCCTCACGATTTTTTCATTCTCCAACGTCAACATCCATCCGACACAGTAGGGCGCGAAAGCGGCAAGTGCTGCGCATAGTACAACAATGGGTCAACTCCGACGTTTTAAACCAGGAATGGGGAAGATATCATTTTCTTCACTCTAACAACCCTGTACGATCCTCTCATCGGAAACTGGAATGTATCTGATAAATTCTCTTTTTTACCACAAGAAGATATATTTCCAAATTGATATGACCAATGTTGATATGGCGGTTAGTAAACTAACCAGCACCCTCTTTGAGTACTATAGATATTCTTGTTCGCAGAAATTTCCCGGCAAAATCCGCATAGTGGAGTAAACAGATTAACGAGCTTAGGAAAACAACAAGATTTTCTTATAATAAAAGGCAGAAGTAAAATCTTGCCACAGAGTGGGTCACTTATAAATCAAACTTCAATAAGCACTAATAAGAGATTAATTGCAGTAAACAGACCTTGAAGTTGGCGACATCTTTGTCCCAACATATATATTAGCTGGCCCAGACCGCGTTGTCGGCCTGTAGTTTTAGTCTTTAACGCATAGTTTGTGTTAATTCACAGATCTGGCTCACATAAGTGGCACAATTTTTAGTATAAATGATGACTCAACTAAAGAGAAATAAATATGTATTTCAAAAATGTAAATATAGGTTCACGTACCGGGCGATTTATAGTGTTTCAAAAAACCTGATCCTATTTGTATACACCAATTGTTTATAATAGTGCCATGTAAGATGGTTCTCTACACCCAAAGTAGCCTAAACACACATTTTAAGCCAAATCGATTCGAAAATATAATCAAAACCCTCGAAATAGATAAAATCAGGGGGTACCTTTATATAGGTAGCGCCCAAAACATTAACTTTGAAAATTTTCCACGAAGAGGTGACCTAGAATGTGACTAAGACCCGGGAAATAGTTGAAATTAGTGGATGCCTTCATATAAGGGTTATATCAAAGCTTGGTCCAATACTTATAATTATTTGAAAGAATGTTTTGTTCTTTCTAAAATCTCAAATTACCAACATTTAAGGAACTAAAAAGGGGCTATATCACAATCCAGACCAACCTGAAATATATTTTGTACAAATGATTCTTTTTGTAACTCATAGGACAGCATTAATTTTTACGGAGTATAGAGGAAAACATTTGAGGCCCTTTGCGTATGTTAAAGCAATATAAAATTGACCCTAAAAAGTTTGATCCGGGAACCCCCCTTTAAAGATTTTTATGTACCAACCTCATGATTGTCTTGGGTGGAGCGATAGCCCATAGTGCCCATATGAAGTTACCTGTGAAGTTCAATGATATGAATACTTTCCTTACCAAATTTTCAATTCGCTCCACTATTTTGTGTAGTACGCATATTACCTAATGAATTTTGCACTGGATGGACTATTTCCATATCTAGTCAATTTTTTGAAGTTTCCGACCTCAGGATCGAAAGTAATTTCTAAATAGAAATCCTAAATAAGACTTTAATTTAACTATCAAAAATAAGGTGTCATCGGTTTAAAAATTGTGTTAAAAAGTAGAAATCGTTGTCAATTAAATTATGGCATGTTTTTGTTACAATTTCTACCGAATGAACTGTAAATTGCCATTTAATGTTTTGAATATTGTGAAATTAATACCAGTATCAATAACTATTTAAAAGCACGTTGAGCTTTAAATGTTTTGATGCTTCGAGAAATATTTTTTAATCAAAATTGAACATGCAACGGCATGTACACAAAATATGCAAAATTTCTCGGGGTTTTTCAATAAGAATTTTCAATTCCAAAAGGCATTCTGAAACAATTCTACACAAAATTTTATATCCAAATAGAACAGTTAATTTCAGTTCTGCAATTTTTCTAGAGACATTTATCTAAATTTTCTTTATTGAAAACGTTTCCAGTGTAATTACAAATAACCAAAAGAAAATATGAGTTAAATCAGCCCAGTCATCCTCAAATGAAGTTTTACTATGCTTTTTTAAATTTTTTACACATAGATCTAAAAATGTGGATGTGGCTTGGAGGAGAGTCAATATTATGTTGTATACAACTGCTTACAATTTAATTTACTCATTTTGCATAGCCCTAATTTAAAAGTACGTCGAGATTTTAAATGTTTTGATGCTTTGAGAAGTATTTCTCAATCAAAATTGTATAGAATATATGCAAAATTTCTCGATTTTTTTCAGTGAGAATTTTCAATTTTAAAATGCTTTCTGAAACAATTCTATACACAGTTCCTTATCAAAATAGAAAATTCAAGTGTTTTACTTTCGCGCTTTTCTAGAGGCTTTTCTCAAAATTTTCATTCATGAAAAAGTTTCCACTATAATTACAAATAACCAAAAGATATTTGTGTCAATTCGGCCAAGCAGTTCTCAACTGATGTGTGACTATATTTTTAATTTGTATACATATAAATTTAAAGAAGCATGTGTAGCCAGTTCCTCTGACCCCAAACAGATACCTAGGGTTGGAGGGAGAGTCAAGAGTACGTCATATACTAACTATGGAACAAATGTCTTCATTATTTTGGCAAATATTAGGATTTTATGTAAATCGAAAAAATGGGCGTAAAAGTGCGTGGTCACTTTTCTTGGCATAGAAACCAAACTCGGGGTAGGACGATAATTTAAAAACAATATTCAAATCCGTCCAGCCGTTCTTAGCTGATTCGATTACCAACGAACAACAATTGATTTATATATATAGATTAAAAAGTAGTCGTGGTCAGTTCCTCTGCCCCAAATAAATACTTAGGGTTGGATGGAAAGTCAACAGTATCTCCTGTAATAATTATCAAACCGATATCCTCATTATTTGCCAAATAT